CGACTTCATTAAGTATCGTTGGAGGTGATTGAATGCATATCTGGCCATTACAATGACTCGCGGTGTCCTACCGATGTATCGATCCAGTGCTGGTATACTCCCAGACAAGTTTGGTACCAATTTGCCGACCCCAGAGGGTTGAAAGGCTTAGCGGACCAGCGGCGAGGGAATCGATCTCATGTGTACCGCAGGGCACCTCCGACCACTGCGCTACACACGCCAGCCATCAGGAATAACTAACAATATTTCGATCAACGTAACACTGTCATTGTGTAGGAATGTTGTCCCTCAAAAGGAATACGAAGATTTCCTCTGCAAAACCAATAGCTTAATATGAAATGACATGCGAAAAAATAAAGAATCCATCCTCAACCAGAGCTAAACGGAAGATGTTAGAATTCAAATCAAGTCTGCTTCTTCAACAAACCAGATGAACAATCAATTTTTGGTGCTTAACGCTTCATTCATAGAACTAAATGACTAACACCTGGTTACATGTCTTCTGGCTTTGTACTAAAGATAAATTCAAAGGTTTCTCTTGGTGATTCAGATTTATGTGAAATTTATCAGAATGCGAAGAAGTGCAGTCGATGCCAAGAAAATATGGAAGCATTGTAGATATGAATACTCCTTTCCTGCCCCAGATATCTCGCCAGATATAAAAGAAAACCATGAAAAGGATCTCGAAGTCATCTTGAAAAGTGGTCGTCACGTTATTCCATACCAACTTTTTCAGTCTCAACGTCAACAGCAATCAAAGTAAATACTTTAGGAAATAAACATAGCCTCAGTCTATACTTCCATTTAACGTTAAAGCGGACAGAATCTATGCTGCATGAATAGTAAGCCCTGTAGAAAAAATACTATTTTTTTTTTATAAAATTTTGGAAAAGTGGATCCTTCAAATGAGAATGTGAAAAAGAGTAGGGATATCCAATCACTATGAAGTCGAGGGCGCGTGTGGCACAATGGTTGGAGGCGCCACTGCGACACACGTGGAATCAATCCCCTCACCCACGGCCCACCAAGTCTTCCAACCCCCCGGGTTCGGCAGATTGGTACCAAGCCTGTCCGGAAGGATAGCAACACTGGCTCGATACATCGGTAGGCCACCGCGAGTCATCGTTAAGGCCAGATATGCATTCAATCACCTCCAGCGATACTTAATGAAGCCGAATGCACGGCGCATCCCTCAAGGATTCATCAACGCCGAGAGCTTCATCTTTTTTATCCTTTATGAAACCGAGATATTTGCAAAACGTCGACCTCAGGCCAGATCGAAACGCGGCTACCCTTTACTAGGCTCAGATATTACCCACTGCACCACTGAAGACCTCGCTTTACCGTTCTCTCAGCCAGTTTCCTACTCTAACAATGCCGTCAGCGACAACCTGTCAACGGGAAAAATGTGGGGAGCATAAACCGGCACTGAACCCAGTTAAGCCGAGATTGTAGTCGAAATCACAACGTTAACTTTCTTATTTACTATATAGGAATATACTATGCAAATTCGCGAAAATGAAAACGACTGCAACAAAATTCCAACGCTGACGCCTAAGACAGGATCAGCAAAGGAACACCTCTGCAAGCCACCTCGAACCAATTTCAAATACGGCATAAATGTCGAGTCGGTAGTACCAAAATATGTTCCAAACTTCCTTTCATGTTAATGTATAAAAGAAAATGCCAGAAGAATGCGATGAAGCGTTTAGAATGGCACTAACATTTTCGGCTTCCGGACAATCCCCTGAACAGAAAGATACTAAAACATTATCCCTCACTGGACTGAGATTTCGCTCGATGACACTGATCAACGGGACTTCAAAGTCTGTGTTATTGTTCGAAGTGGGAACCCCTGAATGCTGGAAACTACCGCCTGAGGTGAACTGAGCAAGCAGACCCCTTATGTACGCGTAACTGTCAATACTGCATTTCTTGACGTTTATAACAAAGTGATGTTCAGAGAATCCGAACTCCACCTCCTAATTCATTTCTTCAACCTTCCTTACAAACTAACATATTCGCGATGATACGATTAATTCTAACATAGGACGAGCCAGAAAGTAATTACGCCTTCCAACTTTCAGAAACGCATCTCAGCTTATAGCTAATTCCATTTATTTAAATCACTTTTTATGCCCATTCTTTTTCCAGAAGATGTAAGTCCTCCCACCAAACGATGATCAAATTCCGAGTTTTTGCAGGCACAAGAATGTAGTTTGTTCGCCTTTCTATGTTGTATTTCTAACAGTGAAGCAATTGAAATGGGGGATAGGGTGAGCACCATTCACTGATCCCCCAAACACACAGTTAATGTTTCCAGCTGTCACACTTGGACTGAAAAGTGTACAAAAGAAAGATGATTCCCATTCTCGACTCTTCGAAAATTTGAAAATTAAAAAGCTCTACACAGGACAGTTTTTGACTACCACAGAGCGATGAAATACTTCACCAAACCAGCTTCCACTTAACCTCGGTAATAAAAATGAGTAAAGACTGACGAAACGAAGGACCTGTGCGGTGTGGTGGTGAACGCGTTAGTCCCCTGAAAGTGTGATAGCGCATTCGACCTCCATCGCAGATAACTGTGTTTAGGAGTTTTGCAAATATCCCACCATCATTATGGTAATAGGAAAAACATATTTCTTCACACTGTTCAGCTTACGCGAGGTTGGCACAAACAGGGCACTACTGAGTGTGGTTAGTTCATTTGAGCGCTGCTCCACTGCAGATTTGGCTGGATGCGACTACGAATACCCACACCGAAGGACGACCGGCTGTGGATGATCGACTTGAGTCGTCGCGACTCTGGAGAAGGCGACGGCGCCGAATAAGAGTTTCGCACCCACCTCGTGTAGGCTGAACAATCCAAAGAAACACATTGATCTCTGCCTACTTTCTTTTCAATCCCTGGCTTCCGAAAAACTATTGACAGTTTTCGAATTCGAAAGCTCTTCGTGAATGTGACGTGTTAAAGACTAAGTTTCATAATAAACGAAGAAAAGACGTGTTTGCGACCACGCTTGTGTAACTTGGACTGCGGCTCCACAAACGTCATATCCGCAATTACGGCATGGGTGCAAACGAAGTACTGTACAAGTGGTGTCACAATCTAGCAGTACTTCACAGTACAATAACAGAAAGCGAGATCCCGCGGATATCGCTGACCATAGGATGTTGCAGATGAAGAATAATAATAGTGCAAAGCTGACAACAAACAGCGAGACAACAAAGTTTAGCTAAAGAGGGGCGAGGTGAACGCCACGACTTCAGATGCTCCTTTTTCGGCTAACCGGTGGAAATCGGACGAGACTGGACGGAAACAGCATCCGGAATGAGGCGAAGAGGGCTCGACGTCGGCGACTGCCGCCCGTGGACGCCGCGACGACAGCCCGCCCGCGTCGCCGCGGACGCCGCGGCGCGATTGATCGGCGGTGGCGCGGAGCGGTCGCGTCGCGTGTTGTCGTGCGCCTGCCGATCTCGCGCGACACCCGTCGGACAGCACTGCGACTCCCCTGGACGGAATTCCATCTGCTTCCTGTCCAAGTCGTCTTTATCGATTGTTTCCGATAGTGTTGTATTTCTCGTTTGAGGGTCTTTTTCCCATGTATCGTTTGAGTTTTGGATTTAATCAGTGCATATCCATGACGAGGTGCCCTTTGTGGCGGTCGGTGTGAGTTCGCCGGTTTTCTGCCTGTTCGCTTGAACCGCGGATCCTTCTTTGCAGTGTGAACAGCGCATATTTCCGTCGCCGTACGACAGCGATCGCCGGTTCAATCTCGTATGCGCGAGGCGATCGTGGAGAACTCCAGACGAGTCGCTAAGTCCGTTACGTCTTCGAGCCATATGGAAGCTGTTCAGGTCGGCTCATTTTGCCTCTTTCTTTGGCTTAGCTTTTAAAATGTTTCTCATCCGATTTGGAAACGTTTTCCGTTGGAAAAAAGCCATTGTTGACTTTGTGCTTGAAAAAGGTCTTTAGGATAGGAGTGGAAATTATACACGAATTTATACGTCTATGTGGTTTTTCTATAGACAATTTCTTGCTTGTGCTGTTAGTTCCTTAAGAAGACACACGTTTAGTGGTCATCTTGACTAGCTTAGTGTCTGTTGGCCCTCCACCTAATGTCTTAACGGCCCTTCACCTAGTTTCTTTTTCAGTTATATCTTTCATCTAAGTTCAGTAATGGCATCCAAGAATAACTTTTAATTGACGGCACTTCTTGCTTTAAGACTTCGGTTTTTTGCTGCTCGTTCTTCAGATTGAACCCATTTCAGGTAAAAGGTTAGTCACCCTGTCTGACAATAGTTTTGAACTGAATGAATGAAGTTCTAGTAGGAATGTACGTATTCACTAGTAGCGTTGTTTAAAATGATGTTATCATCGTTGTGGTGGAAATGAAGAAGTAACTTGGAGTTGGTGCATAGGAGTCGAGAACCTCGGGATGCGGTCACGTTTGAGCGTCATGTTCTTAGTTCTGTGTTGATGGTCTTGTTCAGCAATAACTGCCTAGTGCTATCGTTTTATACACTGTATTCGCTTCTTTTCGCTGGTGTCGCCGCACTCGAAATGTGTGTTTCGGACGCATAGTGGCCGATATGTGTTGGACACAATGCATTTGATGCGGAAACACCTACTCGTTTCACTTGTTTTTCATCAACATATGTATTTCGAGCATGAAGGTAGATGAGCAGACGTGATCTCGTCCAGCAGTACATCATAGTGTTCACCAAGTACCATTCATGTTTGCAGTTGCTGCTCTAGCACTGGAAGTTCTAAAAATTTTAACTCTTTTTCAATGTCTTGTAAGACCAATTCTAAACGTACTTAAGACGAAAAGTACATTTTGTTAAAGTTTTATATATGATTGAGACCCTAGAGCAAAATGTCCTCGATGAGTCTGTATAGTTCTCAACCAATACCAGGAATCATCACTGTCCTGGTACCAGACTAGTAGCATAGTGGCAAATCTCGCTCCCATCCACAGAGGCGGCTATTGTCTAGGGTGGTGAGAGTCTGGAGCAAACTTCGGCTAGGTTGATCTAGGCATTCCAAGGAACCAAAATGGGTAAACCAGCAAAACTACGAAAAAATGGAGATTTTGATGGGGTCCGCGCATCCTGTGAAGACGTGCCGGCCAAGTAAGTAAGCAAATACTCATATACAGGTAGTGATCGAGAAATCATTGTAATTTGGCAAGAGACTGGCTTCGTGCGCTATATTTTAATCAGTTTTTCCTACCATCTCAGAGCCATTCATTCAGCAGGTGTTGTCTTCCGTATTTTAAACAAGATTTAGTAAATGCTTTTAAATGTATTGTTGTTAAGAGTGTACTATTTTGTTATGAAACTTTACGATTTCAAAATAATTTGCATGTCACTTGTTTTCAAAACCGCATTGCCTCTTTGTCGACAGGTTGTTGAAGACCTCTATGGGTGTGAAATTTTCAGGTTGCTAGGCTATAGGCTTCTCGTGATCCTTCATTCTTAAGCGCCGTTATGGCGATGAACGGTGGTAGCCTGGAGGATTGCTACTCCAACGTCTATGCTTTGGTGTGTTTCCGATAAGCTTCCATTTTCAGTTTTTTTTAATGGTTCTTATGTTTGCTATTAATATGAAGTGAACCGTATTTTCTGTGACCGGATTGTAGACCGAATTGAATGGTTTGAAATGGCGGTGTTTCCTGACGCCATCCAATTCTCCTCGTGGGATTCCCATTCAGAGCGATCCAATTCTGAAGGCGTATGGAAAGTGCTTGCGGGTAGGTTCTAATGTCAGTTATTTGATTATTGCTTATTTCTTAACGCACTGAATGGTTTAGGATGGCTTGCTCTGTACTTGGCGGAGAAAGCCGCTACAAATGTCAACACAACCTGAACCGCTTCCGCTTCCATCTTTCACAAATGAGATCGCCAAGGAGTTATGGCTGTTCTGGTATTCGAATGATCCGCCCGAGAAGTTATCGATCAACACTTCACATCTAGGTGATTTGTCAACACTTTGCACTTATTTGGTCTTGTTTTAGTTATTAATTGACGAGTGTTTATGTTTGTGAGTGTGCTCATCGTACTTTTCTTTGCAAGTGTATTGCCAGTGCGTAGTGGATTACGTAGGTGTATTTTTTTGTGAATTATTTGTAGATGCCGATGAGAATGGAGTAGGCTCTGCGGCAAACGGAATTAACTATGAGGTTCGTGTTTTGTTCTTCCAAGCTCTACACACCATGATCGAGCGAAGTATGGCCCACGACGGATTTGTCCGCTTTGGGAGATGGTTCACTCGTCCTCTTCGAGAGCCTCTTTTTGGTCTACAACGTCTGCTTCCTCGGTACGTGTTATTTGCGAGTTTCGTTGACTTAAATGTACTGCACATTTTCTACAGTTACATTATGGCTACTAACGTGCAGTTTTTTGTTCATGGAGGAAATACTGTGTGTATGACTGTGAATGCTCAGCGACAGCCTCCGCTCTTACGTCTCTGCAGACGGTACATTGTGGATTTTGCACCTCTATTTTTATTTTCTGAGTTCCTTCAAACATTAATTTGGTTTAAGGAAACTTTTCTGTAATTCTTATTCGTTTGCTCTGTGTTGAAATATGGTTTGTTTTTGTAGTCATGTCGAAAGTGGACGTAGAGTACAAGTTGTTGTTGGCCCATGGTCGCTTCGTGCTGTTCTTCTGCCTGCAGACACTGAAGTTGGTCGTAATCAGGCTAGTGCGGAAAAGCAGTGGGAAGAGTGGAAAGAGTTTGTTGCGTCATTAGCTGAAAATGTGGAAGAAAGTGATGAGGACAGCCGGGTTAGTTTGTTAAACGTATGAGGAAGTGATTGTTGCGCCAAATGGTTGTGCTCTGCGTTATTGCGTTATTTAGAGTGTTTCTTTCTTCCAGGAAAAAGGGGTTCCGCGTATGGTTCCAATTGAAATCGATGGCATCCGTATGTTATATCCATCTTGTTATGTTTGCGTAACTATGGAAGACGATGCTGCTTGTTCTAAAGAAGAACTGCTTGCTCCAGCTATGACCCCTGATGAACTTATCAGTGAGACTGCATAGCATGCTTTTCAGCGTCCTTAAATGGAAGCCATTACATTTTTACCGAAGTATTTGCAGCTAACGACAACGGTCGCCGTAACCAGCTTCTTGTTTCTAATGTAAACGGACACTCCTATATGCAAGGAGTGCTGCAAAACTCATTTCTCGCTACTTCCCGCCCTCAGCCTTCTCCTATTCCGCCGCCGCAAGCTGGACCTTTTCAAGCACCATTCCCGCCGCATTCAGATGATGACACAAGGTATAACATTATTTGTTATTGTCTTGCTTTTACGTTTGTCAATAATTAGAGTGATATAATGCAGAACTTTTAACTACGAGGCAAAGTGAATGATACAGGTGGAATTTTGTTGACCCAAGCAAGAATGATTCTTGTGCGTGTGACATCTGTACTCACCAGCCATCAGTCGAGTACTGGACAGCCCTAGAACGCGAACCAGTCGAGGATTGCCCCCTAGCGGCTCCTATAAAGGTCGCTTCAAGACCTGGGATTTTCAAGACTAACCCGCTATATACAGCAATGAAAAGACAGAGCAAAAAACGAGCAAAGTAAGTGTTTTACACGTTATTTTAGTCGTAGAGAAATGCTGTGGTTTTGTGCTTCAGACACTCGTATCATCGTCGGTTCCCTCTCAAATCGGATCCTTCTGGAGCTAGTGCTTCATCAAGCGATTCATTGGGAAGTGAACAAGACAGCTCTGACGATGAAAATGTAAATACACCTGCTTGGGCAGATACAAACAAGCAGAGTCTCGTCACGGGCATTTATTGCAGTGCAGATGATGCGAGGTCGCAATATCGTTAATTGTTGTTTTTAAGTACTTATTTGTGTACGATACAAATGTTTTCAGCTACTATTTTGGCACAACAACTCCGTGCAATTCTAGTGATGATGAGAATTTTGCATGTAGTCCATTCACACCTATTAAAGTGAGTGACTGCCGTTGCTTTGTTTAGAGGCTTAATTTTCTGTTTGTTCGAAATCAAAAGCGTCTTCAGGTAGTTTCTCCGTGCACCACCTGTTCCTGGCCCAGTGCCCCCGCTGGTCAAATTCCTGAATCTGTCTTTAATCAGATTTTTCACCCAAGCAGGTTGGACACTTTTTGTCTTCAGCGGCATGTTTCTGATCCGTTCTTTATTTCTTAGTCTAAAAGTTTAATTATTTTGCAGCTTATTTGTTCTTTCTTTCAATATACTTCATATATAATTGTTACTTTACAATTATTTTGTACATCAGTCGCTTAGGAATGCTTTGGTGGCAAAAAAACCTTGCCATCTGACCATGAGTACTGTATTGTAAATATGTTCTAAAAGATTTTATATATCTGTCCTTGATTTATTGAATCTCGGCGTAGCTTCCTCCTTTATTCAGTACTTCGCGAGTATCACCAACAGCTAGCCAGGAAGAACGCCAACGCGACTATAATTGTTATTATAATCCTACAATACGGGAAGATCCGTACTATATGTCGTACCATAGTCGAAGGACAGGGGAAAAACGTCGATCTAGCTACCCTCCAAGCATAAAAATACCGGCAAGTCCTGAACAACCGGGTAGCCAAGAAACTGTAAGTTTGTGATATCTTAGGTGTTTTTCTGTTAGAAATAGTCTTCTGGATTTCTATTTCCTCAGATTCCCGCTACAACGTCTCCCCTGAACGAAATTGATGACCATCGAAGACGTGTGCCAGAATCGGATCCATCTATAACTATGACTCGAACAGTTATGGAATTAGATTTGAAGAAACCGGATATACAAGTTTATTCAAGAGAGAAATTGAAAAAGTCGAAGTGTCAAGTGGAATGGCCAGATCTGGATTCACTTGACATGGCGTTGCTTTCGACAACATTCGGGGTTAATAGTTTCCTTCCACTTTCACTTTTGTACTTTTATGAAATACTGAGCTCATCTACTTGTGTTCAGGAGGAGATGGAAGCACGGGTATCTCCATATGTAGGGCGCATCTCTCCAAGTTGTAATACCGAGCCTGATTGCGACGTAGAAGAGCGTATTTCATCACCCGATGGCGACGAAACCAGAGCTATAGGTTCCATATTGTTCCTTCTTAACTAATCGATTTGATCTGAATGAAATTTGAATCAAACATGCTGCAGGTGAAGGACCATCAGGCGTGTATCATTCTCCTGGATCCATTCAGCACACTATTCTTGGTGCCTGCATTGAATCCATGGACGTTGATGAGACTACTGTAGGCGGGCCAACTGATAGTATCAACTTACTGTCTCCTCCGGCAAGCAATGAAAGGCCTGAAGGATATGCAGTTGTTTGTTAAATTTTACTTAGCTAAATTTTTTAGTCAAATCGTTCTACCGAGATCATTAACGTTTCGATTTAGACGTCATTGAACTACGGCGGATGGCCTCGAATAAGTGGACCACCTTCGTGTGGTGACCCGTCAATGAACCACATTTATCCGACTCCGCCAAGTGTGCAGTCAGAAGCTCAGCAATTCAGCCCTGCTTCTATGTTGCCTCCTCAACAGCAACATGCCATTCAACACCAGCATACGATCTCACAATTGCAACAAGTACATTTTGTTATGCGTAAACCGGCCGGGTCTTTGCTGAATATTTTTTTTATTTCGATTGTTTTTCCATCTTTTATTTGCATTGAAAAAACAACGTTTATGTCTTTTTTCCAGGTGGGCAATATTGACACTGGAGTTTATCCCACATCAACAAGTCACCAACATAATATCAGTCATCCTCTTTTACCAGCTACTTTTCTAACAAAATTGGAAACAAAAGTAATGAAAGAACACACGGATGAGGACTTCTATAACACCAGAGATAACATCAGTGATTTGGTTCCACTTAAAAGTGTAATGGTATGACAAAATTCTGCAATTTTTTTTTAATAATAAGTACAAGTCACCTTCAACAGGGCAAACTCCTGATGCGCGTCGAACAACTACCAGTGAGCGGTCACGTTCGCAAGAAGATCGTGCCGGTATCGTCACGATTCAGCCCAGCTGTAGACTTTCGTGTACTGCGCACCAGTTCGACGAGCCGAAGAGAGCCGCTGCACATGCCTCCTGATTATCAAAAGCTCATTCGACACCTGAAGAAGCGGGCTCCCAGAACTATGGATTCTTTGTTCTCTACTCAGTTTCCATCTTCCATAACTTCAGTTGCAACGTCGCATATGACATCCGTAACTGTGACATCTTTTCCGAATGCCAGTAATTACAAACCGACATTCGGTCCAGTATCAGGAATGACACCGAATCCACATGTACAAATTCCAACAATGCAGCCTCCACAATCTCATCACATACAGCAGTTTCCAGCTTCTCAGGCATGTCTAGTTAACGGATTTTTCATGGTTGAGACTATGTCGCTAAATAAATATTTTATAGATTCGTACTCCACCAATGATGGGCGGTCGGATAGGTACACCTATTGTTGGTGGAGCTGGACCTATGGGACCACCTTATGCACCTACATCTGCTCCATACGGAACGATGATGGCAACTCCAAACTCTGTTCAACAGTTGAATAACTTCGTTCATGGTTCCATGTTCAACTCGTCAAATGGGCAAATGAATCCCCATCATTTGGGTGGAATGACGATGGGGCAGCCATTAGGGCAACAAATGTATGCCGGTGGTCCTGGGCAGGTGTGTTGCATTTTAAGTGCCGTTCGTTTTACATTGTACATTCTTTCAAGCATACACGAGTTTTCACTGAACTTCAGATGTCCATGATTTCTCCTTGCTCAACAAATGGATTTGGTGGGCCACCTATGATAGGAGGATACGGGCCATCGGCACCAAATATTATTGGTCCTCCACACGCTAGTGCACCACCGGCCTATCCTGGCGCTCACGTTCCTCCAGCGTATGTTTCGATGAATCCAATCCAATCAATGCAACCGCCGCATATGCGTCAGATGCAGATGATTCAACAGGTTGGTATTTTCTTATCGTAGCTTTCTGTGTGTGTTACGGCTGTGGTGAAGTGATTACTTACTTGATACTTGAACGGCCCGTCCTCACTGGTTCTGGCCCCAACACAATCTCCATTTTTCGGAATTTGCTGGTTAAACCGTTGTGGCTTATTGGAATCCCGAGGTCAACCTGGCCAAAATCTGCTTCAGGTCTTCACCACCACAGACAGTCTCAGCTCTTGAGGATCAGAGTGGGATTTGCTACCATGCGACTTAGATACCAGGACGATGGTGGATTCTGGTATTGGTTTCCTCCTAGCTAAACTTCCTAATGGAAACGCTGGACTCAGCTTGGGAGACCCTGTCATGAGGATGAATCCTCCCCTGTACATCATAGCCAGACAGCCAGGAACACCTCCCAACCACGATGAGGCGGCAAACCGTTGGGAGGAATTGATTTATGCACATATAATTTGATTGCTTAAAAATTTGGTTGAAGCAGTTATTCATGGCATCAGATTTACTGTGTTTTAATAAACTGATACATAGAAAAAGAAATAACGATGGAAATTTGTGAGAGACAGGCGAAACGAAGGTCCCGTATTGTGTGGTGGTGATCGCGTTAACCTCTGTAAAGGGTAATAGCGCATTCCCCACCGCGTACACCTGCGGTCCGGAGTTCTGCAAATATCTCAGCATCATTGTGGTTGTGTCACATATAATACTCTGCCGTGAAAAGTAGTATTAGGCAGTGAATATAAAGTTAACATGGAGATTTTTTTAGAATTTCTTAATCTTAACTGTTCAAGATGATGCCTGCACAGGCGCAAATGCCAATGATGAACTCGTTTGGTACCAACACTTCGGCATCTTCAAATGGCAGCATGCAGTTGGCCGCACCACAGTCTCGTGAAGTTGTCCTACCTTATGCAGAGGGGTCTAGCGTTGTATTGGCCATAGTTTTGCAGGTGGTTATCCACTTTATTGAATTCGAATCTGTTTGTTATTTATTTTACTTGAACGGAAGTTTTCCATGTTTTAATCCTCACATTTGGTATTCAAGGACACAATTCTTGACCTCCATTTCGACTCTGTCTTTGATGCGTGTCCGATATGTTCCTGTAATACGTCTATACGAGCAAGGTATAGTTGTTTTCTGTTTCTGTACCTGTTGTGTGTTTGTGCGTATCTTTACATGTATCACATGCACTCCTCGGATTTCTGCTGTGAAATGAAGTTGAGCATGTTAATGGTGAACAAACGCGAAGCTTTTTGGAGAATGGATAGTAGACTAAATATGGGCTAGTGATTAACGGGCTTATAGTTATCTCGGAATAAAGCTAGATTCTGGAGATGTGCTACCTGTGTTCTGCTATAGAATGAGATAACTGATATATGCTTATCATTTCCTGCTAAGCGAATGCAATGTGCAAGTTAATCGCATTCATCAAATGAGCAACGCATCTGCTTTCATAGAACACGGTAAGCTACCTGTGGGTACCTCTCCCTATGTATTAAAAGCGCATCAAATAAAGAGTGTTTTGCTTTGGAAAACGATGTTCTGGAAAAAAGCAGGAATTGTGTATGAATCTATCTCTAAGCGGAGAAATGTCGTGGTTTTTAGACGTCAGTGTACACATTTTGATTATTATATGGTCGTGATATTGTGACACGTTAAGGGAACTTGGACTGTATATAACTCCTCCGGATGTACTTCGAATGCCAGCACATCTTCAACAGGCTCAGATTGGTTCTTGGAGTGGGTTTGCTTTGGAACAAGCAAATGTGTGTACTTGTGGATTCAGGTGGGTAGCTTGTTTGTTATTCCAGAATTTAACATCGCCTGCTTTGCTAATTGTGTTCACAACAAATATTTGATTATTGCGAAGATTCTGTAGGATAATAGATTATGCGTTTTCATGCATGGAAATGTCAAAGAATATTCTGATCAAAAATTTTTGTGCTAATGAAATCCCTTGTTCTCCGCCTCTGTTATAAAGTGAAAAAATCTTTTCTGTTGATTAATCTCTTAAGAATGTGCCATCCGACTCTATCAAGCATCATAGATGAATGATTGAATGTAAATTGGTCCTCTGTGGAACACCTTGCGAGTACATACCGTTGTATCAAGTCTGTGTTTTTATCCTCCGATCCTAGTATGGTATGAATTTACCGACCCTTTGTAATATGGAGTACTTAATATGCTTGTGACGTTAGATTAATATCCGCGAGCCTATTGCAGGACACTTGTAACTACTGTGCTAGATGCTGTTTTGGACTCATATAACTTTTTTAATTTTTTAGTGCTGTTCGACATCGGTATCTCTCTCTGTGTTCTGGATTGTTTCCTGAAGATTCCCGGGAAGCAACTGCTATAGAACATTCTGTGGCTCCCGTCAATGGGTTAGGTGCAGAAGTTGGCCTACAAGCCAGTAGTCAGATATGGTTAGTCTTTTTTGTTTTCGCACTCTAGTCAACTTTTCAACTATTTAGAGATCAAATTTATTAGAACAGGGACAGTTTACTTAAAATCACTTCAGGTTTGATTCGACTAGCTCAACAGATGTTAATATGCTTGACTTACTGCGGATCATGTGCCAGCAGCACAACATGGGTCGTATGGTCCATCAAATTGCCCACTTTGTTGAGCAGGCTGATAAGGCTATAAAAGTTTGTCTCTATTTTTTACTTCAATCGTCGCCATGAGGTGTTCATAATGCGTCTAGGCTCAAGAAGTTAGCTTCGATGCCTCAAGTAACTCAGAGTACGTTCTATCACAAGTAGACGCCACTGAGCTCATGCTGATTGGTAATTCGGCTGCTGAGATGGCCAGAAGTGAGCTTTTATTAGTTCATTGCCAACTTTTTGTTGTTTATAAAAATTGTTTATTACCGCAGTGCGCTTAGTATCCTCACACCGTTAATTGACTTCGGGTTATTTTTAGTTAGTGGTAACCGATCGCGGAATACCAACCAGCCCATTCTGCAGTTTTTCCATCCATGGGGTTTGCAAGTAATAAGTTTATCTTGATGGGTTTTGTTATGTGAAAAGAACTTATTGCACATATTTCCATAAAACTAGGTTGCGAATGAAGTACGAGATCCTAGAGAAGCTGAGTGGCGAGGTTTGCTCTGTGATATCGGCCCTATCCTAGAACGGGCTCTGCGCGTTGTTAGGTTAGTTAGATATCATTGTTTTCGTGCTCTAACTTTTTTTAAAACTGTTTACTCTGCAGGAACAATTATTTTAGATGTATGCACGGCGTTCCTGGTAACATCGTTGAAGGGCCGCTGTCATGGAGGGCGTTGACAAACAAGAGTCAACCAAAAGCATGTACACCAATCCACGATGATGATATCAGCTCACCAGAGCCAATTCCCTACATCAATGTTGCAGCTGAAAAAGATGCTATTAGAGCAGCTCCACATGTAAGTGTTGGTGCTGCGTATTTTCTGAGGACCGTTCATTTAAAATGCAGTTAAAACTTTTCGTAACGCTTTATTCGGTTAAGGATATTTAGTGTAAGGTGAAATACTTGAGCACTTTCTAAAAACGTCACTAGCGCAAAGCGGCGACATTTTCATTATTCTTTTTTAATAGGTTGTTCGCCACTGGGAACACCTTTCTCTTGGACCAATCGACCAGCCTAAAGATGTGCTTTATCTCGCAGTTGTTCCTGATAGTGCTGAAATTTGCGGTATGGCCGTGAAATATATGGAACAACTAAGCCAGTAAGCTTTTCTCCAGTTTATGGTGTCATTGTCCACTTACGATGCAAGATTTTATATCTTAGGATGTACGAACGAATGCGATTTGGTAGGCATATTGCTTGGCCCACAGGCGTTGATGGGCGCGATGGCTGTGTTCGTGTAGGGTGTCGAACGCAGAGTGGCAAATATCCAACTGAAACTACCACACTTGATTTCCTCAATCTTGTCGGCAGATATGTGGACAACAAGGTCTTCATGACAAAACTTCGGGTTTGTTAGTTTATGTCTGTAACTAAGTGAATGTTGAGTGTTCTTTCCAAAAGAGTTTTTTATGAATTTTCAGCACTGTAGTCAATTTGCATTACAGCTTTTTACTCAACAAATGGAAGAGAACGTGCTCCAGTTGGTGACTGAACGTGATGATCTCTTCGAGAGAGCGACTTTCCGAGAAACTCTAGCATTGGACTGGCGTGCGAAAAGAGCATCTGTGGCTGCCGTTGCGCTAGCCGTGGAGCAGCGGTTAGCAGAAAGTGTGTAAATTTTGTTTATGTGCACAAATGACTTAATTTTCTCGTTGGAATCCGTAATAGTCTACAAATTCACACTACCTAAATTGTTAACCTTAGATGCAGCAGAGCAAGGTGGTTCCGTTGTTGCACCTGAGCCACTGCCTACAGAACCTCCATTAGAACCGGAAGATGTTCCAGTTGATGATCCCGGTACTCTACCTCATGTGGTGGTTATCTATGTGGTATGTTATTTCTATTCAGGCTACTTATTTCCATAATATATATCTGTCATTACGAGTTCTTTTCAGTTCAATCCATTTACATGGGGTACTGAATTTCGAAGTGGACTATTTACCCGAGTTGCAACATTAGCCGTCATGCGAGCATTTAATACAGTTTGCTTGAGACTACCATCATACAGGCGCTCTCAACTACAGCTGGAGATAATACCTATGGAGCAGGTGTTCTTGTTTTCATTTCTGAGTAACGTGTGCTCCTTATTTTGTTGACGTTTAGTTGTGTGTTTTTCAAGGTAACCGATCTACTTGGTTGCCTCCCAGACTACACAAATGAGAGTGGAACATCACAAAGTTTATTAGAGAACAGTGGTAAGGTTTTCACAAAAATGCTTTAAATAAGTACGAAGGCTTCACATATAATTTCAGTAGAGTATTGATTATAATTTTAACTCTTCATATATTCTTCATTTGAATCTATTGGTGCTGTCAACAACAAGTAATGTTGTGTTAACTGAAGGAATTTGGAATGAATTCATTTGAATGATTTCATCTTTAGGTGGCAGTGAACGCGAACAAGTAGATTGTGTTGCCGTTGAGTCTTTAAGGGTGACTTTTTTTCGTTTTGGTCATTCTTTTTCGTATTCCCAACAGTATAAAGTTTCCAAGTCCTACTTCACTGTCTCTTTATTTCCTAGTTTTGGACTTTAAGCACTGTGAATAGACTAGTCACAATTCTGTAGTTCTGTTGGAATGCTAAGTGTTACTTCAGAATCTTCTAACAGATGGCAACAAGTACGTTTTAATTTGTTCTGCTGTATTATTCAGGCCACCGTTCTCTCCGTGTACAGTCAGCCAAGAGTGTTAACGGCCGACTGCATTAGGAGTGTGCAAGCTCGATGTATGACGAGATTTGGTCCAGGAAGTAGTTTGCTTGACTCTTTGGATGAGTGGGAAAGAAGTGGAACAAATGTGTTCTACAAAGTAAATTTTTATGATTTGCCGTTTTTTGTGGATTTAATGTGTTCATATATTAGGTACCATCCAACCCTTACCATCTAGCTCCACCACCGTTGCTTTACCAGAAATATGAAAACGGCAGAGTTTTACAGTCTTCTGATGAGCAGGTAGAATTGTTACTTCGAAGTAGAAACCGTTTTTTTTATGAACTAATTTTCATTTAGGTGTTATATGTCACATACTGTGTGGCTGGATCAGACTGGTTGTGCGTCACCGTTACTGATTCGCTAGGGCGACTTAACGACAACTGCTTAATAAATCTGCGAACTCGACATGATCATCAGTATGTTGAGCGTTCAATATAATTAGAGAATTTAGATGTGAGAGCCGTCTCTCTATGCACACATATTCCTATTTCAGTATTTACAAATACCGCCAGCAAACACAGATTCTTGATGCAATGGGTCGTTTGTGGACGTACATATTAGGAATTTTGTCCATGGAAACACGCAATTGGAGACTTGTTATAGGTCGTCTAGGACGCATTGGTCACGGGGAATTCAGAGGTCTGGTTCTACTACTCTTGATTGTTGGGGTGAAAAATCTTCCTGAACGATTTATATGTATTTGCATACCTTCATAGTTTTTTTTCTGCATTTGTGTTTTCAGTTCTGTTTAATAACGATCTGCTTCCTCTACTGACATTTTGTTTTCGAAAAAATTCAGTTTGAAAATTTTAGTAAATCATGTCTTGATGTCTACGAAACACTTTTTATAAGTGTTTTTTTTTAACATCTTTTGACTTGTTTATCTAGGAAAAACTAATGTGAATGTTTTTCTGCTTAAAATTATCAAAAGATGCTTAATTTTCCTGGAATTCATTTATTGGACCTGCACTGTGTTGATTTTGTTAATCGTATAATTTTCAGCTTGGACATATTTACTCAATAAAACGGCTCTTAAGCGCCACTCTGCTCGGCTGAAAGAAGTGTGTACTGCTTGTGCTCAGATGCCCGGTTGTACAGGAACACCCAGCATACTGTCTGCTTGTCTCGTTTCTACAGAACCCGAGCCGTATCTGCGCGTCTTTCCTGGCTTCACGTTTATGGATGCGTACAGGTAGATCTTCTTATCTTTCTTTTCTTCAGAAGGATAGTTGCAAGTTGAACTCTGAGGAAATGAATTGCTTAAGCAAGAAGGCTCGCTCTGCGGCACCAGATGACACGAGCATTACACATATTATGGTATTTCCCACAAGTGCAGATATTCAGGTAGATTTCTTTATTCTGTGTCACATCGTAAAAGTGTTTTATCTGAGTTCTCTTTATTTTCACAAATCACTCGATCTGCTATAGCTTGGTTCAACCGATCAGCATGCCGTTGGAGAGGATGACTGGGACTTCTCTGATATGGATATACCGCAGGATGGAAATGACCTCGGAGATGATTTCCTGTCTAGTATTTGCATGGTTCAGCATTAATACACTTTTCCTAAGAGATAGTATATACTCAATTTTTCAGTGTTGAATCGTTAAGATTTCAGGACAATTTGGGGCCACCACAACAAGGTAGTAATTTTCGCGCTGCTGGGAATTCTTTCTTTTCAGAAAATACTGCTGGTTTGATTTTCTTGATATCCAACATTTCACCCTTCAAATAAATCCTTTTTTCTTTCATTTCTATATGGTTATTGCAGATGTATCAATGGAGAATCAACCGTTAGCAACGGGTTTTTACGTGTCCACTGCTCCTGCAGCTGATGTACCGGATTGGTTTTGGGCGAGTTGTCCAAGTGCAAAGAATCGGACCCCTGTTCATCTTAAGTCATCACTACATATCAATGTTCCTCTTGTTCATCAGGTTTTTGTTGACGTTCCCTTAACTGCTTTAATCGTTTAATTCTGCATTCTTGTTTCGCTTACAGGGTGACGAGTTTTTGCAAGGAAAAGCAGCAGCTGGCGACAAGCAAGAGAAAGAAAGTGCGCATCCTCTGGATAGCACTCGAACGGATGAAGTGTTAAGGCAAGTCAAATAAGCGCAGTCACAAGAGGAATTGCGTATGCAAGAGGATTCATAATCTTTGTAATCTCTTTATTTTAGACATGTACTCGAAACATATAACGCTCTTTCATGGCTAAATATCGATGTAGTGTCAGGAGAACGCCGAAGTTGTCTTCCTGTTCACATGCAAGCGCTCAACCGATTATACCATTCAGTAGCACGACTCATAATGTAGTACTCAACATGCAACTCACACAGTTAATGCTGGTACTTACCCACTTTATCCCATTTTAGCTCGTTTATGACGTATTTTTGAGCTATAGATCCGGTTGTACAGACTTAGCACTAAACTACTTGATATTTGTAATTTTTGCCTTTTTTTATTCTGGATTTTTTGCTACGTTTTTTTTACACACTGCTTCTTTAGACTGTGAGCATCGCTCTTTCTTTTACACTCACATTTTTTATGACGATCTCGGCTTTAGTACCGACATTTCCGAGATATCGCTGTTAATTTCTGTACAGTATTTTTTTTCCGTATGTTCAGAGTTACGGTGTTTATTTCAACCGCGCTGCAAACGTTGTTCTAAAGTTCAGACATATCATCTTCAAAGTTAGCACTCTATCTCTCTTTCTGTCATTTGCTGCTCGGCTATAGTACAAATCCATCACTGTATTTATTAGGTTGATATTGACGGGTTTTCCTAGGTGCTTCTGAATTGAATGTAGCACTGGAAATGTCATGTATATTTCATATAAGATATTCGCGGTATGGCATGTGTGATGCTGATACCGTAACGGGGTGCCCAAAATGCGTGATCTGTCCGTCTAGAAAGCGTGACATTCAAACAATAGCAGGTGCAGTTAGGTCGTTTTATTTATCGTTCGCGATATTGTTCTTAATATTATATAATAGCTAATGAAGAGTAATACTTATGTTGACTTGAAGTTCTAAACTAGTAGTAACACTGGTAGAAGTTTTTCGTTAGTAGTGCGCACATGCATAGCTAGCGCTTTGAGTACTTGGACGGCTTATTTTCAGGAGTGGTGAGTCAGTATATTTTCCGCCGTCGGTATTGACTGCCTGGATCTCAAACATTTGATAGAGTTTGAAAATTCGAGTTGCGCATTCCTGATAGAAATTGTGTAGCACTGGTAAATTTTAGAATATACCGTCCAGGCATTGTGTGGGTGGTGTGCAGTTTTCTACATGGTTGCCGCACCAACAAAAGCTTGTTGCACGCTAAAGCGTTGGAAGGACCGTTACATTGTAGAGGTGATCGAGGATTCTCGAGTCTTGGTGGATGGTTTCTCTACGGGCCCGCAAGCGGACCACACTGCTCTCCTTGTGTGTAGTTCCTCTATGTTTCTGTCTTTGTTAATTGAACGCTGAATCACACTCACGAAGTTGTCTTTGTTATCGTAGAACCATCCATTTCGCCTTGTTCACCTTCGCACCATAGGTTTTTCATGAACTCCATATTACGATTTATGCGTAATGGTCGTCGATTAAATCTTAAAGAAACGATGTTCGTGAATAACGGATTGGTTCAAATGCTCATTCACGCTCAACGAAATGGATATCCTTGAGTGCTTCAGCTATGTGAATCTGAGGTGGAAAGCTAAGGTGATGAACTGCTTAAGGCTGAATAGGAACGAGCGGGTGACCCGCCAGGAGCATCGAGAGTGAACTTGGAACACTCGGCGCTTTACCCAACTTTCGACTCCACGATTCTTCTAACCTTAACGGTCTCTGCTGCTGGCTACGGAGAAAGCATGGGAAACTATTCAGAGCTTTCGAAGCGCAGTAGGTAGAATGATATTGGGAGTATTTCGTACCACGTAGATGAATTTAAACATAAAGGGCAATCTTGATCTAACCTACGTCATCTATACAAGATCAAAGAAGAGTTTGCTATACACCCCAAGATTTCGATTATCGGGAGGGAGCGCTCGATGTGTTTTAACGACAACCGGTCAGCAGAAAGTGCTAGCGATTAGGTATCACTGGATGTCTACCACAGATAAATAAGACCTTCGAATCCTTAGTAAAACTCTTTATGACGATTCTACGTGAATAAATGGTGCTCAGTAGGTCCTTAGAGTAAACAGAACTCACTGGGCTACTCTTGCACGTGACGAGAATAGATGGAAATTTTGCTGGCGCATACCCAAGTTACTTGTTGGTTAACGGAGATATCAGTTTTTTGAGAGGTTGAACGTTAGATCTCGACGCCATAGACTCGATTCGGGCTAAAGCCGTCAGTATAAATTAAATCGTTAAAAAAAAGCCTCCCCATGAGAGCTCAAGAGTCGGTCATTTGGGAACGTGCCGTGGATCGTATGCGACCGTATAGTTGTTCTGATCCGCAACTGGATTAGGAGAACTATGCCCGAATGACATTCGTTGTGCACACGTTGACATGTCTGTGAAGACGTATGTAGGGTTGTTGCATGTGTGCAAATTGTCCCCAGCACGCTGATTTAGCCAGAATCAAGTGACTGGAAAGTAAACATGGAAGCCGATTCAGAGACACATCCGGAAAATGAGCTTATTGTCCAGTTTGGACCATGTCAAAGTAGCCTTGAAGGTATACTCGGCAATGAGCCAAAGCTCCACTGCTACATGTGGGTATTTGTTGGCAAAACCAGAAAAAATAAATGGTCCTATTCCTTTGATCCCGGAAGAAAAATTAAGTAATTCCAGTGGTGCTAAATGGGTGTTACACTTATAGAACTTTGCTGTGTACTGGTAGCGATCCTTTCAAAACTGAAGCTGTGGAGCACTCTCTACTGACGAGGCTTACATACGACTTCCTTCTAGGAGGAATCTCCAATACCAATAATTGGTACATGTTTCCGCTTGGTAGACTCACTGCAGATAAGGATCAGTTTCATCGGCTTCGAGAAAACAGGAGAGGATTTCCCAAACAAACCATACACCTGAGCCTGAAGAAAAGGTAGGACATCACAACAGAAGAGAACCGATACGGCGATGCTGAAGTGGAGCGATCAGAACGTCCTATCAAATGCAGAGTTAGTATTCTGCTTCAAACTCTTCTGCCTAAACATTATCGCCTAGGTCAACCCAACTACTCCTAAAAACTAATACAATACCGATTATGTCACATCTTCCAACGGTTTACTGCCTAATCTTGGCTGTGAGGTGTTCTTGGGTGTCGCGGTGCAATGTACAGCGGTTTCATCTCCCGGCTGGGTCTCCCAAGCTGAGAAGGAGTCCGGCGTTTCCATCGGGAAGCCTAGCTAAGGGTAAACCAATACCAGTATCCACCACCGTCCTGGTATCAAAGTCGCATGGTGGCAAATCCCTCTCTGATCCACAAAGGCTGCTACTGCCTGCGGTGGTGACGACCTGGGGCAGACTGATCTGTTGTTCAGGCTGATCTCGGGACTATAGGGAACCACAATGCCTAGGACAGCAAAACTCCGAAAAAACGGAAATTAAGCTGTGGCCCACACAACCAGTGAAGAAGGGCCATCCAAGCATCCAATTAGATATTGTATCACATCACCATAAACATGTAGATAGGAATTACTTTATTAGTCATGCAACTTTACTTTCGTAAAACTTTACAGTGCTGAAAAGTATGTGACAAATGTATGTTCACCAAAACCACGAAGATTTATAAATGCACTACAGGTAGTAGTAGTAGTGGTATGCTGTAAAACATATTGCATACGTAAGTGTATGAAGAAAATGCCCCATTATTACTGATTTTACGGATACTTCCACGGAGAAATTACTATCCCTTAGAATGTATACAACTTAAAACAAGGATGTATAAAGCAAGTAGTTATAGATATAAAAATTAACATCACATCTAATCACTGGAATAAATGATGACCAATAAATTAAGAGAACTTCTCACAACTCACAATACAGAAGTTATACAAAGTCTACCGGTTATACATACTAAACAATTCAGAACGGTCGTGCTGGGACAAACGGTCGAGCTGGAACCTGGGGCGCAGTTCCATTGCTTGGGGTCGGAACTCGCCTGGGAATAAGAATCCTTTATAGCTGTTATTTGTTTTGAAGCACATATTGAAATACACAACTCATAAATAGCATGCAAAAAAGGATAGGCTGAGGACGGATTTTGAAGAAAAGTAGCAGCTATGTGGTCGTAGAAGGAGAACTAATTTCCCAAATCTAACTTTTGATTTAATAGCAACTAGTACAGAAAATTTAAATATGTTGAACAAGCAGAGTAAAAAAAAGTGCTTAGGAGTCCACCTATACCAATACTGACACATTTGCAAAAATGTTGGCTTTTGATAGCTACAGTACTTAAGATATAGAGCAGCTAACAGACTTGTAGGAGAGATGACCCTTTTGCCCTAGTGGTCTAAAGATGCACGTCACTTCTCTAAAATGTCATCTTTAGATTAGGACTCTTGATTAAAAACGAAAAGTGGTAGAACGAGAAGATTTCTAAAAGGATAAAGCTCTCAGCGCTGATTAATCGCTGAGGGATGCGCCATGCATTCTACTTCAATAAACATCGTTGGAGGTGACTGAATGCATATCGGGCTTTTACAATGACTCGCGGTGGCCTACTGATGTATCGAGCCAGTGCTCCTGTCCTTCCACACAAGTCTGGCACCAATTTGCCGCTCCCATATAGATGAAAGCTTGGTGAGCCATCAGAGCGGAGATCGATCCCATATATGTACCGCAGGGCGCCCCCGACCACTGCGCCACATACGGCCAGAAGATTCACCATGGAAGAAGAAATGAATTTATATCGCATCAGGAAACCATAGTGGCGAATTCTAGCGGTTTTTATTTCAATTAGCAATGTTTATTTTGAGCACAGAGATTTGTTTAGAACTGAAAAGCTGTATTATTACTATTTATGAATGTATTGAGATCAATGTTTTGTCGCGAATGTATTAAAAACGTAGCGAGTACGCAAGAATTACTTGTAGATATGTAAGCAAACAATAAGAGCAACGACGTAAGATTTTCACCATGTAGACAACACATGAAAACATTGCACAAGTGGGTTTACGACAACACCAATATAGCCACTAAAACAGAATGTAGGAAACTGATGAAACCTAATAGTCGGAACAAAGTGTCTCGAGACTCTCAAAAAATAAACATCCTATTCTCCACACAACACCTGAACTTACCATTCCTATTTTGGAAGCATTACACCTTGTGGAGGCCCACCTGGGCCCGGACGCCTATTTGTTAAAAAAAATACTATCGGAAAAAAAGCAGAAAGCAAACCATGCAAAAGAGGAACAACTCACGTTGGTACTAGTGGAGGAGGATATACACCCGCACCAGGTGGTGGACCAGGAGGCCCCCGATGCATTGGGGGACCCCCAGGACCGGGACGTGGTGGCATCGGAGCTTGTCGTCCACCCGGAGGGGCGGGAGCTGGACGAGGTACAGGAGATGGCCCTGAGGGCACTGGTCTAAAGAAAAAATGTGTAGCACATCTGAACGACTACAGTATTCACGCCTAATTACACTGCTTGTGGATTTCCTAATAGGTTCTGGTAACGGTTACCTATAATCACTCGGTGGAAGTGGAGGAGGCGTATCTCCAAGCGTTGACATGTTGACCTCAGAAATAATACGAAGAGCCTCCTTGCAAGCATGATACATCCGCAACATTTCCTCTCGCTTTTGCGCTTCTAATTGAGATTCTTCCATCAACGACTCCTGAAAAATTTCCGAAACGATTTTTAAATAAGGACACGAAATATCAGAGGGAATCCTTAACACGTTAGCAAGAAGTCGCATTGATTTCTCTAGGTGGAATAAAACAACTGTCTTTCAAATTCAAACCAACTTCTAATAAAACGAAAACCATTATAATTAACAGGTCTCCACCCACAAAGTATACGTTTTACAACAGTATTACGTCGAAATTCAAGTTTTCGAGTTCCCTAGAAGCAGAACTACTAAAATGATACTTTGCCAGTCAGAAGATTTACACGTAGTATGGACCCACTATTATTCATCATCCCCTTAAAGCGATATGAGAAAATGTCTTCTATAAGTATTTAGAGTAGCCGAGAATCAACAACGGTTAAATTTATAAATTGCAAGTAATGGAAGCCCAAGTTTATATGAACCTGGAGTCATACCGTATCTCCACATTGGTAGATATGAGCCAATAGTTCATCATGCATGAATTGCGTGACCTAGAAAAATCAAACGATTGCACTGCAGAAGAAAAAATAGTGCGAGGTAGTAAACAGTGCAGAAACGTGCGATATATGGTGTTAATTCTTCAACGTAAAAGCAAAATATATAAAATGAACCTGAGACACGATAAGATGCATTATCGCTTTTGGTACAAGGTCTTTTATAGTCTTTGTGACAATCCGCATATATGAGTCCACCAGATTTCGTATAGTTTCAACCTAAAATCTATCATAGCACGAAAGTGGTGCAATTATTTCAACAAATTTAATTCCATATTTGCTGTAGTACACCAAGAATACCAAGTAAAGCCGACTGAAGCCGGTATAGTAGCAGAATTCCGTCAAAAACTCGTAATTTTTACATCGATGCCTTCACACAATCTTGGCTATACTACAAAAAGCACCTATACCACTATCACTAAAGTAACTTCCAACAGCTTTTTCCATGGAATATGCATAATCTGTTTCTCATAAAACATTGACTACCGCCTTATATGCGTCTTGTCCAAGAAATAAAAACACAAAACCCTGTAAGTTGAGTCAAACATTGTATTTAATTAAACCATGATGCTCTTTGTAGTCATGCAGCAGAGTACTATCATCTTAGAACAATATTTCTTGGAAAAATGGACTAAATTATTGTTTACCTGACGTTCAAGCTGTGGATCCAATGAAGTTTCTTCGACTTCGACTTGGTTCTAAAACAATATGTAAATTTATGTGTATATATACATACATATATATACGTATATATATATACATATATATGTACATATATAGATAAATGTATATGCGTATATACGTATATATACATATAAATACGTATACATATAGTGTACAACCAATATGTTTAACAATGGTTCTATCCCAGGATCGAAAAGCACAAGCAATAATGGTCTAGCGGAAACTATGCAAACACATGCAAACAACCTATACAGAAGAAATAGCGATTCTGGCGAACCTCCTAAAATCATACAGCAAATCTTTGAAATGGCATCAGAAGAGAATAAAAAACTTCCTTGCTTCAAATTTTAAGAAATCATACCTCATCCTCCGGCGCCTTTTGCTTTTCGGGATAAACTCCGGCTCGTAGGAATGATGCTTTCCATGCGTCAACCTCATCCAAGTTGTTACATCCCAGTTCCAGCTGCTTGTAGTCCTTATAGATATTCCTTAACATAGCACTGTTTTCAATTTTGAGCACACAATTATAGTTTGCAGAATCTATGAAATATCGGCAAACAGCACATGCCACAGCACATCTCATACAAAAGATGGTTAAACCCCATGAGCCCAAACTAAACCAAGCGCCATGGATCCATTACTTCCCGCCAGTAATCTGTAGTAAAAACATTGACATAATACGCCCACTGTTTCCTAAAATATCCACGTACAGAAAATACTATTCATCGCGACTTCAAATATTGATAAATACACCTAGAAGTAATAGAGCCCTTTAAAAAGAACAAGGAAACAAACATACTTCAAAACAGATTTTAAAGGACGTATACTGATTTTAATTATAGTCCACATCACTGCCTTATCTATCATGTAGCAACTGGAACAGATGTTTCCCATAACTTGTATAGAGCGCAAAATAACTCAACACGATGACCACCACCTGATTACGATAATAGGATATTTACTTACTTAAATACTTGGATGACCCGCTCTCGTTGATTGTGCGGGCCCCAGCATAGTCTCCACTTTTTCGGAGTTTTGCTAGTTTAGCCATTGTGATTCTATGGAATCCCGAGGTCAGCCTGGCTAAAGTCTGCCCCGAGCTGTCACCACCATAAGCACTCGCCGCCCATATGGATCAGAGGTAGATTTACCACTATGCGACTTTGATCCCAGGACGGTGGCGGGTCCTGGTATTGGTTTACTCTTAGCTAGGTTTTCTGATGGAAACGCCGGACTCCTTCTCAGCCTGAGGGAGCCCACCAAGGGGATGAATCCTCTCGCTATACATTGCATCCCTACATGCAGAAACACCTCCCAGCCACGATGGTGCGGTAAACCGTTGGGAGGATGATAACATGATAACCTTAGGAATTAAGAGAAAAGAAGACGGCCAGAGTCCCTTCGATTTCAGGATGTGGAGACAGGGTTTAACGAATTGAAACTGGTACGAATACGATTAATGGGGCAAAGTAGTTGCATTGAAGCATTTTCCCATTGTAAGCGAGCATGCAGGAAATCACAGTTGAGAGGTTTTCCTCCAAGCAGAAGTGAAACGGAAATATCACAACGGGAAGGAGAAAGCTTGTAAGCGTTGAGTCATTCGAGAAAGGGAAAAATGCAAGCCGAAGAAGGGAAACATCGATGGAAATGGAGCAATAGAGCAAAGCGAATCACACTACGACAGCACTACGACAACACCTCACAATCGATAAGACGTTCGCTTACGTCTGTTTACACTTATAAAACATAAGATATCACTCACTTCCTGAAAATTAGTAAAATATCCTAGCAAAAGTAATCAAAGCAAAGGTTGATAGAAGGGATAAGTGTTTAGGCAAAACAGATGGAAAATCGACATCCCATTTACCACATTACTTCACATAACTGTTGTTCAGCGCCAACTTACGTTCTGAAAACGACGACAAGAGGATTGGTGAGTGGTAAATGGTATAAGTAATTCGAGAACGTCAATGGAATGAGTGGTTATAAGGTGAAGAACGTTAAGGTAACCAAAGCAGATGGAGTAGGCTTTGCAAAACTCACTTTCCATCCTGATAGAAAAGAGCGAATTTATGTTGACGAGACATGAAGCCGCTCTCGATATCACGTAATTTGATGCCATCCAAAGGAAGCATGTACTTTTTCTCCTTTTCCTAAGAAAAGTCTTGACATACTGGTAGCTGTCCTACTTCCGAATATTATGAAGTCCATTTAGCATACCTCATCATCCTTGAACCAGCTGAGACTGTCTGACATTAGCACGAACCAGCAGTCCTTAGAACCTTTAATAAATGAAATGTTATTGATCGATAACCACCCTTTTCGTATCACTTGTACGCCAAGATTCTTCTTCGTCGATTGTCCTTGAGAGGCTTTTGCTTCTGCGCTGAAATAATTGAAAACTACCGGAAAGCAGACACAAATAGAAACAAAGTTTTACAATGAAAGTGTCCTACGCTATATATATATATATATATATATATATATATATATATTTATATACATAATTTAGAAACACTTGTAACTCCATAAGTGATCAAACAACTTATACTGCGGTGTTAAAGTCTGCAAAAAAATCTGCCCACTGTGCTAGAAATCTTCGACAAACATGAAGCTTATTACACTTTTTGTTTCAACACCGCTTTTTGGCATTTTTCGAACAAAGTAATTATGGGTAGCTCGCTAAGGTTGAGCATACGTACGGATAGCTAGTCGGGGCTTTCGGAGTAGAAGCGCGCAATGTTCGTTGGAAGCTGTACCAAACCCGTTTCAGGGAAAGTAAGTGATCGCTGCTAGCCTGTATTCAACGGACTATTGCCACTTTGTTGAAAAGCTATTTAGTCTTCATAACTAGTCGGTTCGAGACCCCTCAAGTAAGGAATATTCTTGAATAAGCTAAAAAGTTTGAATGAACAGTGTTCACGCCAATCGTGTAAGTCATGTGAGAGTCGTATGAATCGGTAATTCCCGAAATCGTCCTCTCAGGTCGTCATCGTATTCTTTCACGCGTGCCTGTGAACTCAGCTAACAACCGGAACTTATTCCTACCAAAACCCGCCCACTGCGAAAGTTTCGGTCCGTTTTCGCTTATTTGAAAAAAGCTCCCGGCGTTTATCTATCCTTATGAGATGCGCAATGCATTCGACTTCATTAAGCCCCTTTGGAGGTGATTCAATGCATACCTCGCCTTTACAATGACACGCGATGACCTCCCGATGTATAGAGCCAGTGCTGCTATCCTCCTAATGAAGTCTGGTACCAAACTCCCGACTCCGGAGAGATAAAGGTTCATTCGAAGGGCGCGTGTAGCGCAGTGGTTAGAGATACCCCGCATTTCATATGGACTCGATCCCGTGCCCCAGACCCACCAAGCCTTCCATCCCTCCGGGGTTGGCAGATTGGTAGCAGACTTGTCGGGGAGGATACCAGCACTGCCTCTATGCATCGGTGGGTCACCACGAGTCATTGCAAAGGTTAGATACACGTTCAACCACCTCTTCGCTTATCTTCGATTAGATATTTGCCAAAATGTCGACTAATTTTCAAGTGGTATAATAAATAAAATACATACTTGCTGAAACCAATAAAATCTTCATGGTTGGTGTTCATATAGGCTAACTCATAGTCAACGATAAGCGTTATTTGATTTTTTGCATATTGTTCCTTCTCGCGAACTCGAGTGACAACGATTCGTTCAATTTCATCACGTAATCGTGGGTAGCGTGCAAGCTGGAAAAAGGATATAAAATACTTCTAATTAAAAACAATTCTTGAAATATAATTACAACGATGCCGAGATATTTGCAAACTCTGGACTGCTAGTGTCTGCACTGGGGATCGAACACGCTATTACCCTTTACGGGGGTTAATGCGTTCACCGCATCGCTCGGGTCCTTCGTTTCGCCTTTCTCTCAGCCGAAATAGGTAGAAAATAAAAAAGATGATTGCTATGCAACACTCCTTGATTCGAATATCACCGTTCTGGCAAGGTAACTTTTCAAGAAGTAAGAAAATGCAGATTTAGAACAACCGCGATATAGAAAAAGGCGGTCCTAAGCCTGAAAACTTTACTTTGTTCAATTACGAGGATTGTGGTACTCACACATTCAGCACATTGTCGTATCACATTGGCAAGTTCATTTACTACGAGATCAACACATTTCAGCGAAGGCTCTTTCAAACGAGCGATCTGTTTCTTGGCAATCGCCTCAAATGCCATATCAGGAGTGAAAAGTCCTACCCTGTAAAGTAGTTTTGCTGTGGTAACAAAAGATTTTGTTAAGGAATTAGACCAGCACATTCTTTGGCTATGGAAAATAAAGTAAAAATAACTCCAATGATGCTGAGATATTTGCAAAACTCAGGACCGCAGGTGTCTGCGATGGGGAATGAACGCGCTATTGTCCTTTCCGGGAAGCAACGCGTTCACCACCACACCATGCGAGTTCTTGCTTTCTCCTGTCTCTCAGCCAGTTCTATCGATCTTTGCCATCAGCAAACATCCGTCAGCGGGATTGATCTGGGGAGCCAAAATCGGTAGCGAAGCCAGTTAAGCTGAGGCTGTAGTTATACTCACAGCTTCAACTTATTATTTACTGCTTCCTCCTTTTTTAGTTGCTGACGGCAGCGATCGATAGAACTAGCTGAGAGACACGCGAAACGAAGAACCCGCATAGTGTGGTAATGAACGCATTACTCCCCGGAAAGGACAATAGCGCGTTCGTTCCCCACCGCAGACACCAGCGGTCCAGAGTTTTACGAATATCTCAGTATCATTGAAGTTATATTTCGCAATACACCCCGCCATTAGGAAGAGTAGGAAGTAAATAATAAGTTAAAATTTAAAGTAAAAATATACCTAATTCCGTGAATATTTCGAATGGCGAACTGAATTTCCTTACGCATTTCCTTCTCGTCAATTTCCATTTTGACAATTTCGAAAGGAAAACGCTCATGAAATAACCTGAACATAATTGAGAATGCAGAATATTTAACACAGTTTAAAAATATAAAGGATAAAACATTCAGCGTTGATCAATCCCTGCGGGATGCGCCATGCATTCGACTCCACTAGGGCACGGCAGAAGTGATTTAACGCAGATTTGTTCTATACAACAATACACGGTGCCTACTATTGTATTAGGTTAGCGCTGTTATGCTTCGAGACAAGTTTGGCACTAATTTTCCTGTTCCGGAAGGATGGAAGGATCGGTGATCACTGGTGCGGAACCGAACCAAGAACCATACTGTGATGGGGCACTTCTAACCACTGCACTACACGAGTCTACTTTTGCAAATTAAGTAAACTCACGATCAGCATAAACTTGCCTGTTAATACGCGCGCCGCCACTAAGCTCGTTAGTTGAGACAAGTTTAGCTGAGGATCCTTCGATAGACCTTTCGATATCAACGGTGAATTGCTGCACCATTCTTAATCAGAAGAAGACTGACAAAAACATCAACGTATAAAAGAAACATCCAACACTTACTGGAGCAGAGCTTTTGTTTTTCGTCCGGGGTCATTCGGCTGGAAGTTCTTATATTCTGCAACATCTTTTTCTAAAGCAAATAACTTCTTTTGAAGGCTATCCCGCAGTGTTGGAAGGGTGTCCCTGAGAAATGATGGCTTTGTTAACAAACGCAATAGAGGCCGCAGGTATAGTTACTTCTAGGAAAATTTTTCAGAAAGCATATAAAGAGATACTCTACCTTATATGATTCGTTAATTGCTGGTTGAGTGTGTGTTGAAGATATTGAGTTCCTAAGCGATCTGCCATATGTCTAAAAAATATGCATATGGGTAGTTCTCTATGGGAAAAGACAAAAAGAGATATTTTAGCACTAAAAATCGCTAAAAACTGTAAACGACAAAGATTCTTAAAAATGCATAAACAGAAATTTCTAGGAAGGAAAACCCAGTACACGGAAGAAGCGACTTTGGGGCTCTTGAGCACAGTAGTGTAGCAGAGTCCTACTGATAGTATGGAAAACTCTAAGAGGAAAACAAAAATACACATCGTCTAAATATCCTCAGTTTAAATCTTTGTTTACCAATAATTAAAAAATAGCCTCAGCTTAAACTTCGGGTCAGAAAATTTCTCTATGTTTCTGTAGGATACAACCAATATTTAAACTAAAGTGTTAAACAGAAAGTTAGTAGCTTTCTTTTTATTAATTACCTTTACTGTATCCCTCTACTGAGAATGAATGGTAAAAATACAGCACCACTTGCACAACAAAAACTCTTTTCCATCAAAAGCATACACAGCCCTGGCTAGAAACTGAATGCTAGAAGATATGTTCCAAACATTCGGCTCTGCTCTCGGTGTATACGCGCCAAAAGATAATTTAGCCTTTCTTTTAACATAAATTCTAATACGAAATGTCAAGGTAAGTTTTTAATTCAAATAATACCGACTCAAGTTTACGTATCTTTCCTGATATGACAAAGGTTTTCTTACTCTACCCCAACAAAATTGTGGCCTTTTGAAGCTCAAATATCGTTCTTTCACCATTTTTTTGACCAGGCTAGAATCTCACACACCGAAAAGATTGTATAAAAGGTGTTTTTTTTTCAGAAAAATGTTATAACGTACGTGAATGCAGCGCTGATGGCTGTGACTACTGCATTTGCGCCATGAAATTTTAAAACTTGAAATTTATCAACGAAAAAATGGGAAGTTTTCAGAAAAGAAAATAGCGCTGGAGCAACTACATGATATAATTGTATTTATACACAATAAACGAGTAGACTTAACACTTTCAACACTCTAAAAAAATGTCAAGAGAGAATTGCATGTTCCCATATGTAGCAAATTCTTAGCCAAGTTTCCAAAAAGATAATGTAGCCAAAAGTGCCAAATTTAGGAAAACATATAAGAGTGAATAGTAGATACCTGTACGCAGGATGAGATAAGAAGAATTTCCTCTCAGCATCCAACGCCGATCTGATATCCTTCTTCCCAACAATATCCTTTTGCCCACGGTTGACAACCCCAATGTAACCTGAAAATACAGATGAACTCAAGTTCATGAAACACAACAGAAGGAAACGGAAACAAGAACTAGTGACACAAAAATATCCTTGGGTGGATGCACAATGTTAATTCTTTCAGAGAGACAATGTCACAGATTCCCCAACTGCTCACCTCGACGTAAAGGAAACAGGCGGTTCTCGAGAATCTCCCGTGCATCAGTCCCCTCATCCATGAGGTCCAACTTTGTCAACACACCGATCGTTCGCAAGCCCTGTGGATCGACTTCCTACAAAGCTATTGGAAAGTACGATATTCCACCGCCTTAAAACAAAGCACCGCGTACCTTAGCGAGCTTCAAAGCATCAGATGTGGCTAAATCACTATTTGCAGGCGTTACAGCCAAAATCAAGCAAGTCTCCCTACTAATGAAGGTCAAGATCATTTCACGAATCTGGTGCTCGATATCCGGCGGTTGGTCACCAACTGGCACCTTTGTTAAACCAGGGAGATCAATCAAAGTAAGATTGAGGACTGAAAAAGTACTGTAAACAATTTTACGAAAGCACCCTTCAAACAGATAACACAGGATCAAATGGACACGCTGCATTGATAAGGAACGACGATATGGAGAACTAACCGTTAGGACTGAACACTCGCAGGTTTATGGGGTGGGGGGATATTCCTTTGTTAGCTCCGGTCACTCGATCGGTTTCGTCTTCGATTTCCTTGCGAACGGCATCGAAGTCCGTAAAATAGTTGCCCTTCTTGTGTAAGAACTCAGCGTATTCTGTCAACAAATAGGAATAACCTCATACTCAAGTGTGACACGAAAAATCGGTATAAAAGGAAAAAGAAGGATACCATTTCTGTCCTGGATTAACTGCAAAATCAGCGGACGTCTTGTGACAATTCCGGAACCACGAGGAAGAAAGTCTCTGGAAATATAAGCACGAGTACAAAGGAATAGTGTTTAACGTCTTCAGAGACAAAACAAGAGATATACCGTACACTACATGAATGTCGCTTAACACCATTTCAAAAAATGAAACGAGTAACGCCAAGTAATACTTACTTACTTGGATATTTGGATGGTCCGCCTTCACTGGTGGTGCAGGCCACAGCATAATTTCCATCTTTTCGGAGTGCTGGTCTAGTCACTGTGGTTCCCTAGAGCCCCGAGGTCAGCCAGGCCAAAGTCTGCCCCAGGTCGTCACCACCACAAGCAGTCTCCGCCCTTGTGGATCAAAGGGATATTTGCCACCATGCCACTAGTTTGATACCAGGACGGTGGTGGTTCCTGGTATTGGTTTACTCTTAGTTGGCTTTGTCAATGGAAAAGCAGGACTCCTCAGCTTCGGAGACCTTGCTACGGGACGAATCCCCCGCTATACATCGCAGCCCGACAATAAGGCCAAGTAATAGTAACAAGAAAACTGAAAATTACTAGCCAACAAGTCGAAATTCGAAGTTCCGATGGCCAACTTGCACTCACTTTCCTACAAAATTTTCCAAAACCGACGATTTTCCGGCACTTTGTCCACCGACCACAGCAATTTGCGGTAGCTCGAAATTGACTGTCGTACCTAGCTGAGAAAAAGCATCCTGAAAATAGAAAATTGAAAAGAAAAGACATCTGTACCATCAATTTTTCGGCAATCCTATCGTTCAATACTCAGGCTGATATCTAGGAACTTTCAAACTCACTTGAACCCTATTGATAACGGGAATGAGGGCTTGCATGCCCTGATTAGCCCACGCCATTCTGCCCACTCGCCCAACAAGGTCGCAATAACCCCGACGGGAATGGACCTGTCTATGGTCTGAAAGCATAAGAATTCGACCGACAAGTTCAAGGAAATATGAGCAACCACACGACAGGTTATGACGGTTAAGAAGTGGACGCAGAATCACAAGTGTACTTTATCGTCAGTGATTTCGTCATACAAAGAAAGTTATAACGACTTTAAAAATGTAAAATCTTAACCGCAATTGGAGTTCTCATGAAACGACCACAACCACTAAAACAGGAACTTAAGGCCTCTCAAATGTGTTACAGCAGACACAAACATGAAGCCCGGCAACGCGCCACGTGAGCCAACCCCACGGGCCATGGGGCGCGCCCCGACAGCGGCCGTCGGGGCGCCTTCCGCGCGGCAGCGCGGCAAAATTCGAGCGGAAGCGCGGGTCCGTCGCCGGCCATTCGACGCGAACTTCTGGCGCTTAGGAGTGGGAGTTTGGGTTGAAAAGCGTTTGAAGTAGGTCTAAGCTCTAAACTGCAGATGTCAGTTTGTATTTACTTTTATCCATGACTACGAAAACCCATAGATAATATGGACAAAATAAAACGGGAAACAATCGGAGATTCTGAGACGCTGATGAATATTGCACAGTTCTAGAAAAGGTATGCAATTTCACCCCAGAAAAAGCATAAAGCCCTGGGCTTTGGTCATCGCTTAGGGATGCACCATGCATTCGACTTCATTAAACATCGTTGGAGGTGATTGAATACATTTCCGGCGTTTACAATGACTTGCTGTGGCCTGTCAATGTATCGAGCCAGTGCTGTTATCCTCCCAAACAAGTGTGATACCAATTTTCCGATCCCGGAGTGATGGAAGGCTTGGTGAGCCGGGGCATGGAGATCGATCCTGTGCGTATTGTAGGGCGCCTCCGACCATTGCTCTACACGCGCCACTCGAAAAAAACTATGGAGAAAATTTTTTTTCGTTTCATTACTCATGTGAAGATGGATAAGATTTCAACCGACGCCTTCGAGGATATATTGGCCCTTCAGTGGAGGATAGCCTGGATTTATAGGTATTTTTATATACTACCCTTCCCAACGGTTTACCTTACCGCCTCATCGTGGCTGGGAGGTGATCCTGGGTGTCGGACTGCGATGTACAATGGGGTGTTCGTCCTCCGGCAGTGTCTCCCAAGCTGAGAAGGAGTCCGGCATTTCCATAAGGAAGCCTAGCTAAGAGTAAACCAATACCAGGATCCACCACCGTCCTGGTATCAAAGTCGCACAGTGGCAAATCTCCCTCTGATCCACAAGGGCCGCGACTGCCTGTCGTGGTAACGACCTGTGGCAGACTTTGACCAGGCTGCCTTCAGGACTCCAGGGAACCATAATGGCTTAACCAGCAAATCTCCGAGAAATAGAGATTATACCGGAGCCCGCACAACTAGTGAGGACGGGCCGTTCATGTATTAAGTAAGTAAGTTTGTATGCTATGGAACGTAAAGATCCACTACGAATGGTGGTTTTCTACTTTGTGAACGCTCCTTGTCATCTACTGTCAAGGCAGTTAGAACACAAGAAATCGTGTAGTGTAGAAGCCACATGTCATTGATATCGGCTGTAGTCCAGTGATCTCGAGATCGATGAAAGCGAGAGGACATCGGTAGAATTTATTTCATTGCTGTAGCACGCATGTAGCTCCAAATGGCTTAATGTGCCCTGCGATAATCCCGTGGCTGCTGGATCCGATTCTGCACTCCGGGTCCACTAAGGTTTCTATCCTTTCGGGATCGATAAACTGGTACCAGACTACTTTCCACGAATCAAAACACTAACCTCAAACATCGGAAGACCCATAAAGTTAAGTGTAAGTTAGATATGCGTTCAGTAACCTCTAAGGATGCTTAATAAAGCTGAATACGTGGCGCTCAAAGAGTAATGAACGTCAAACACCTCGTGACGCATAAACTAGCCCAGTGAATGGGATCTAAAGAAATGCCGAACCCCTTCCAAACTTACAAGATCCTTACTGGAGGATGGACATTACGTTTTAATTCGCATTTTTATACGTGGAAACACAGCAACAATAGTGAGGCCGCGAATCATTCAGATGTGATAACACCGATTCTTTATTCAAAATCGCATTTCAAAACTACAGCATTTCTAGCACCAAACTGTTACTGGACTTGTCTGGTATTTGATCGCCCTATTCAACCCACGAAGTGGCGATTGCCTGTGGGGGAAGATCTAGGATGGTCCCATTATTCCTATCCCAGGATTCCACAGAGAATTGATTGAACCGGCATTCAATGGCACGCTTAGAGAAGACGAAATTCTCAAACAGCTGCCAAATCCACATGCGAAATGTTCAAAGATCTTCATGGAAGGTGGACGTGAGGAAACGAATCGAATGTGAGATGTGCCGAGATCCACAGAAGAGATGTGAAGGAGGGGTTGTGTAAAAGAAAAAAAATGCTTGAAAATACCACATAAATGTGGCGGAACTGCGAATGGCAGTTAATGAAACATGTATGACTGGTAGCTTTGCGTCTGTGTCGAATTTCTCCGAAACATTATGCTTTCGATGTTGCTGGAGTTATTTGTGAACGCTTGCTCATCTTCCTCGTTAAAGCAATCCTTCTTTCTTTCGGGCAATAACCCAATATTCTTATCACACAAACGTAGCTGACGTTCCGACAGAGTCGCCTTCAGAACCTGGAAGGGTACACTTATAAGCAACTTACTAGGTCAAACGCTTCGACAGCACAAACAGAAAGATGACAATCTGAACGATAATTACAAGATCGACGGCTTCTCGAAAAACATTTTTTCATCTTTCTTTTTGTGCTGTTGAAGCGTTTGACCTAGTAAGTTGCGTATTTGTGTACCCTTCCAGGCTCTGAAAAAGGCGACTCTACCGAAACGTCGGCTACGGTTGTACGCGTTCTTCTCATGAGGAGGTAAACATGAGCTGAATAACAACCTCGAGATTGCTGAGAAAGAAAACGACAAATTTATAATCCAATGCCGAGGTGAACAGAAAGTCGACCCTGGGCACCAATATTCTTATGTTTGCGTTCCAGTTCCCAATGTGTGTAATAGTTCAGGTCCATGTTGATATACGTTCGTATTAATTCCATGTGCACGTGAATAAACACTCAAAGAATCTCTCTTATGCATTGAAGACTTGTTCGTGTAGCAAAAGAAATCTATTTCTCTTTTTCATAGAGAGTTCTATTGTTATAAAAGGCGTGGGAACATGCTGAGAGGATAGGTGGCTGTCCCAAGGGGGCAAATGTGGATTGGGCGCCGAATAACGGCGGCTAAGCCATGAGGCTCTGTTGGATTCAAGAAATGAGTTTCCTTTTTTGCTGCAGTCTAGTTAGAGACATCGTCAGTACGTACTGGATAATCCGAAGAGTTCCGAGATTTCAAAAAACGATATGAAGAATATACTGCAGAAATAGCACGCAGTGAACAAACTATGCATCCCTTTTGTTATCTTTCGGATGGCTGGAAACACGTCCTCTCATGGGTTCCAAATTTATTTCCTAGAAATCGTTCAGGTATAGTCTGATAGCCACCAAAAACGAAACGCATGTTCTTCAAAGATTTCTGAAGTGGTCGAACCGAGTGGGTCTGAAGTAATGAGTCCGTAATACGGGATAAGAATGGACCGAAGATATCCCATACGCAATAAATCAGTGTTCTATAAGCGTACATAGGCTTAAACAAAACGGGTTTTCGTGATAGAACAGAACGCCAAAGTGATGGTTCAGGACTCATAGCTCCGGTTGGATGCCTGTCTTCTGTCGAATCTCCAATTTGGAAACACAGTTTCTCTGTATTGCCAGCATCCCCCATTTGTAGCAATTTATAATAAATTTGACGTGACGTTTACCACACAGACACCATTTACTTGGAGAAGATCCTTCCTTGGAGGTAGTTAAAAACCTTCGTCCATCCTATTAAAAACTGTGTTTTGGAATTAATAAGGATAAACTTTTCGTCTGTAACAGCTACGGTTATAAAACATCGGACTTCTTTTGTGTTGCAACAGAGAAAACTAATACGCAAATTCCAGACGTGTATTGAGGATGGAAACAATGGCGGGCTTGGAAGTTCAAATTCTTCAGGTCACATATGATGCTAATAGCGTAAAACAGTGGGTGAATCCATGCAGATTTTAACGGGCCTTGTGGTCTACACTTCAACACCAATGCACAACGGCGATGATCTGGAAACATTACGTGGACCAGAAGTCCATTGAAGAAAATCATAGCCATGAGGTCTTTACCAGTAGAACCCTCAACCTCAGAAGTGGTCCTATGAGAACAGATAAAATATAAAGAATCAGGAACTTTAATAAATCGTACAGGGTGAGAAGTGGCCGAGTTTGCTAAGACCGTTATGACCTGAAGCTCACGTATCAACTCAAAATTCAAAAAGAGAAAGTCCTAGAAAGAAGAGTTCTTAGGAGGTTAAGAATGCGACGTGTACCCAATATTGCTATGGCTGATGACATCGTTCTCATAACAGGAAACACTAATGCCAGGATGAATGGAATGAATAGTGGCCTATTTGACGGCATATTTGGAAACATCGATCGACAACTGCTCATAAAATAAGCAACGCTCGTGAGAAACGGATTTGTCCGTAGTTTCACCTTCTCGCTTAGCCTGGGTGTTCCAGCTATGCACATCTAGGTCGAGAAGTCAACCTGATTAAAAATCACAGACAATGTCGCATGTTGAAAAATATTAAAAATACCAAGCGTTTGAACGACAATCGCAAGGGAAATGTCGTCGTCGATGATGAAGACGATTCATGTCACGCCACGCTACCACATAGCCAGATTTTTTCATGAAGCTCCGAGGAAAGAATACGGTGGTCTCCATTTCACGTGCAGTTGCAATTCATTGGGTAGCACTAACACCCGGCAAGGTGGTGCAGTTACTTTTCTGGCATCAATTCGAGTCACTCGACGATCAACAGGAAGGCTGATGTAGGTCAGAGA